TATATCCGCGAAATCACAGAAGATGTGGGCATCAGCACTTTCTCTGCACATTCTATTATAACTTGAGATTTGGCCATGAAAAGAGTTGTGGATAAACTCGCGCCGAAACTGCTCACAGTGAACAAAAAGACACTTCGTGTTGAGGTCTCGTAGAAAATGCTAAATTTCACAAGCAGTGACGCTAACTTCATGAACACCATTATCACTGGTGACAAATTTTTGGTGTACCAGCATGCTATCCACGTCACCAAAACCAAAGAAGGCCCACTAAGTGCGCAGCAACGCCAAAGTGAGGCTCAGGGCTTCCTTTGACTCTCGCGATGTGGTAAACTACTAGTATGCACCACAGTGTCAAACAATCACCAAAGAGTACTACAGGGCTTCCATCACCTACGTGATGCTGTGCGGTGCAAGCGATTGAGTGGTGGTCAACACGAAACTGGCTAGCTTCACATATACTAAATTTGGTGTCGTTTTACGTGAATAGATGACGAAGGTAAACAACACAAATATGATAATCATGACGCGGAAGTCATGTGCATCATTTATCACCACCTCGTAACGTTGGGTTGATTTTAAAGGGACATACCAACATTTCTCATTTGTGCTTCGCATATCATCGATTACCACTGTATGTGGAATCTGCCATTTTTTTCTTCTACAAACGTCCTTCTTAAGGTAATTAGCCGTAACTAATCTCAGAGTGCTGAATACACCAAAGCAGACCAAGGATAGGCATTAAAGCTTCAGAATGAATTTCAACAGTCCGCATCTTTAAAAAAAATATTATAAAAGACTTTTTATTGTATGGTTTCACTCATTTAAATGACAAGCAAATAAAATAAGTTGCCTTTGGTTAAAAATCACCGCCCAATTTTTTCGCCCATCCTTGAAGCGATGCCGGGTCCTATCGTAACCAACTAAACGCAGGGTGCTGAGGGGTACATTTGACTTTTTTCATACTGTTGGCTTTCTCGAAAGGGTGTCTCCTGTAGTTCAGAAAGATCCTGAGTTTCACTATGCTCAGGATATCCTCCATAGCATCCCTCGCTTTAATCGTTTGGTCGCTGCATATATATGCACTTTTTTCACGCGTCCCATATAAACCGAAAGAATTGAAGGGGAGATGAAGAAACAGATGTAAAGATAACCTTATGTCAACAAAAACTGCACAGACCGTTTCTTTCTGCGTTAAACAAGACAACAGAAGTGTCACTAACACAGTTGTTGCCCATTTACTTACTATAAAAAGCTTGTACTAGCTCACGTCCTACTCTCTCTTTGTGGTTGCCTAGAATTTTCATCCTTTCGAATTTGGGCTCAATCTTCATGCATGAGCTTCTATGCTCGGATAAGTTTACATTTATTATTTGACGCAGCGTGCTCTTCAACTCGTTCATTAACAGAGTGGCCTGTTTGGCCAACGTACGAACGACGGCAGGTGAGTGGGACTTGGTACACAACTCCTGTGGTCATTTCAAGAAATTTTGGCACGCTTTTCACCGCAGCTGCATCGCTGTTGTCCGCTCCCATGGACCCTTGGCCATAAGCCGGCAAGCACTTTTTGGCGCCGAAAAGCCACTTGGACGCCATGCCTGTCTGCCACTTTCTCCAGGTAATGCGCGACTTCGTGCATATGTGGCAACACTTACATTATTCCTGCCGCAGTCGCTCAGTGTTGCTGCAATAATTTTTTGTAACAATGTGGTGGAAAGCCTGCCTAAATCAGCCCAGTGATTTGAGTACGAAAACTATCATGCGTGGCGTGTGGGCATGACTTGATAAGAGCAGCTTTATGGCACAAGCTTGCCACTGGCTTCTCCACTATCTTCGAATGCGCAGACTCAAAAAGCAGGAGCTCTCTTCACGCTTTTGGTGCACGTTGCCAAAAAAAATGGATGTGAACTGAAATCGGAGGTAATTCTAAAATCTGCATTGAGCCGTTAGTCAGGATTTCATGCGTGAAAAGTACAGACCTCTGCGGCATTGTCTAAAGCTGGTTAAAATTATACTCACTGAATCAGTGTGGATTATGGTTAGTATTTTGGAGATAAGAATAAAAAGTTGTCTCAATATTGGAATAACGTAGGAACCCCTTCTTCAGTTAGCTCATGATTCAGGAGTCGTCCATGGCGCCAAAACTTATAGTTCATAGAACCAGGGTAACACATGATCCTATACATAGGTGCTGTACCGCGGAATGCAGAACTCATCGTTAAAGGAGATGGATTAGGCTTGTAGGTAAAATTCTACAAGGGGCTTGAAATTTTCATCTGTTGCCCCGGCAGAGTTTTCAATGCCTATTTCGCCATTTTCCTCGCCACGTGCCAACTTGTCCAACAGGAATATCTTCTAAATAAGACAGCAAACAAGCCGATTCTTCCATCGACTTCCGCAACCACTTACAACAGCGTTTCTCTGCGATAGCGTTAGAGAGCTCATGTCGCAGAGATTCCACCGTCAGCATCGGCTCCGTTGTTTCTGAGAGAAACATCGTTCGTGAGCAAAAAAACTGGTTACACTGATTACAGAGATCAACGCTGGAGGCCGCTACTTGTCCATGCATGCGCGCGCGATCACACTGAGAAAGCCGCGCGTTCAAAAAGAAAAAAAGAGAAAGAAGCTCTCAAGGTCACGAGGAGCGGGTGACGTAGTTTCTTTGTCCCTGCCAACCCTCCCTGCTTAGCTTCCAGCGCTTTCATCAGGAGGAGAGAGAATGCAGTCGGAGCATTTGACAAACCTTTGTAACACCATTTGCACTGGACAGATTCTAGGCATTTTTGCGACGTTGAATTCGTGAGGCAATAAGTTCTTCTAGTGTGTTCACTCCATGGTTACATCAAAAGTGTTTCAGGGCCCTTTAAGACATTTTGTTTGACCGATGTCACGAAAAAACGAACCCATTCAGCGATTTATAGGCGCATTTGGGAGGCCTCAAACTGCGTAAAAAAAGGGCGGGACAGTGCAGCCATTGTCGCTGAAAACACACAGGAAATTACAGACAGCTCTAAATATAGACAACTATGTCCGTCTAGTGGAAAAAATATGCCTTTCTAGAGGCGTTGATAAGGCAAACAGCAAACGCTAGATAATGTGCAGCCATCTGTGAAGCATTGTAAGACTCTTTATGACCTCCGAGATGGCAAGCGCGCGGCGTGTATCTTGGACGCCGTGCGACTCCTGCTTTACATAAAAAACCTGTATATTTCATTCGCGCACGCACGCGCTGGTGCAATGTACTCTGTGCGTGTGTGTGCGTGTATGTAACAAAAAAAATATTAAGTATTCACTTAGCGGTTGACGGGCGCACTAGGGGCCGGATTTTGCTATCGCGTTCAGCTGTTAAATGGGAAGCTTAAGTCTCTCAATTTTCGTAGATATCATCATCATCAGCCTGACTGCGTCCACTGCAGAATAAAGCTCTCTCCCATGTTTCACCAGATAATTCAGTCCTGCACTGGCTGCTGCCAATATATACAAGCAAACTTCTTAATCTCATCTGCCCACCTAACCTTCCGTCTTTCCCTTAACCGCTTGCCTTCTCTAGGATTCCAGTTAGTTACCCTTAATGACCAGCGGTTATCCTGTCTACGTTCTACGTGCCCGGCCCATGCCCATTTTCTCTTCTTGATTTCAACTATGATATCCTTAACCCCGGTTTGCTCCCTAATCCATTCTGCTCTCTTATTGCTCTTCAGGTTACATCTAGCAATTTTATTTCCATTGCTAGCTGTATCGTTCTCAATTTAAGCTTAACCCTCTTTGTAAGTCTCCAGGTTCCTGCTGCGTAGCTAAGTACCGGCAAGATGTAAGCTGTTATATCTTTTCCTATTGAGGTATTGTGGCAATCTACCTGTCATGATTTGAGAGTGCTTGCCAAATGTGCTCCACCCCATCCTTATTCTTCTAGTTACTTCAGTCTCGTGCTTAGGCTCCGCTGTTATTACCTGTCCTATGTAGACATAGTCTTTTACAACTTCCAGTGCACTATTACCTATCTCGAAGCGCTGTCCTCTTCTGAGGTTGTTGTACATTACTTTCGTTTCCTGCAGATTGATTTTAATATCTACTTCTCTGCTCTCCTTGTCTAACTCCACAATCATGAGTTGCAATTCGTCCCCTGAGTTACTCAGCAGTGCAATTTCTTAGGCGAAGCGCAGGTTACTAAGGTACTCTCCATTTACTCTTATGTCTCACTGTTCCCAATCCATGCCTCCGAAAACCTCCTGTTAGCACGAGATATAGAACTGGGGAGATTGTGTCCCCCTACCTTACACCCTTCTTGATTAGTATTCTGTTGGTTTCTTTATGAAGCACCTGTTTACGAGGTGTCTCTTGATGGGAAGAGTACCAGAACCTTGGAAGAATGCAAACATCATCCTAATACATGAAGGTGAGATGACAAGGACATGAAGAATTACAGACCGATCAGCTTACTCTTTCGTGCTATATAAGCTATTTACAAAGGCAATTGCTAACAGAATTAAGACAACATCGGAATTCAATCAACCAAAGGAACAAGCAGGATTTCGAACAGGCTACTTAACAAGCGACCACATTCATACTATCAATCAGGTAATAGAGAAACGCTCAGAATATAGCCAACCACTATATATATCCTTCGTAGATTAGAAGAAGTCGTTTGATTCAGTATAAATAGCAGCAGTCATGCAGGCACTGCGGCATCAGGGCGTCGACGAAGGATATATAAACATCCTGGAAGAAATCTACAGGGGATCAACTTCATAGATCTACTCGATATCAAATTGAAAAACGCTGGCGGCCAGCCTGACTTCGTGTAACCGTCGAATACGTTCCTTGAAGCGAAACAGTTATTTCATTAAGTTTTCTTTCGTGCAGAGTCGTGCTACTCTGTGAAGACTATAACGGAATGCTGTCATTGCCGACATTTACTAACACGTGATTGGTTAAACTCGTAGCAGCAATGTCAGAGCTGTTAACGATTTAAAGAGCGACTGTTACGACAGCGGATGACTCACTTGATCCCTTAGCGCGAACGAGCAGCCCTTTTGTGGCTCGCTGACAAAGCTCCAGTCGATGTTCGTATGGTGGCTGACCGACGCCATCATGGGCACGTCCGTCACCGAATCCTCAACCCCACCGGCTTCCAGCAATAGGACTCGATTTGAGGAGTCGTGTGACAGGCGGTTGGCCAACACAGAGCCCGCCGAACCACCACCCACTGCGAGACAAAGCACGTTGCAATCACATGGAAACGCAATGGTGCTAATATTAACGCTATACAAATAACTATAGTGAACTAAAAGAAGGACATTTTTTAAGCTCAGATTTCGTTATCACAGCATTACTTAGACTAACTCGCACGAAAGCCAATGAAAGAACTGCGGATGTTATTGGTAGTGAGTGTGAGGAAATTAATACACACGAAAGAAAAACTTGCCACTGAGCCTGCGACCTTAGCTGAACGTGAAGGAAGCTCAACGTATTGAGCGGCGGTCATCCCCCGTCCACTTTATGCTTGTATGGAAAGCTCGCTGATTCGTTCCCTGCCAGCGGCAAGTTATTTTTTCCTTTGCATTACTTTCCTCATATTTACTACCAATAGTATCCTCTATATTTCCTTTGGCTTTCTTGTCTGATATTACCTATCAGTTGATGGCATTTTATTGTCATATAAAGTATTTACCAAAGATGGGCACTACCACAGAAACGAAAAGCTTGAATGGCAAAGCTCGACATTTATAGGTGCAATTGCAGGCGTGAGCGCGGACCTGGGGGTCAAGCCTGCTTCATACATTGACATAACAAGAAGCGGTGGCGATGCGACGAACTCTCGCCTCCTATTCTCGCCCCCTCTCTGAAGAAATACAGGGCCAACATTACGGGTGTGATCGAATCATATACCACGTAAGCCCTTTTCGACGCTGTTTGGTAATGACATTTCTCTGTTATTGCCATTTGGTAATGCCGTTGGTATGGTTGTGAGAGCTAAAGGTAGACTAAGTACAACACCTGTATCGTCGGTCTAAACTGTCCCTGTCTACATACTACCCTATTCTAGAGGGCATTTCCAAGCATGAACCGGCCGTTCTGTGATCAAACAGAAACAAGTTGCGAATATGGGCGAGAAGGGAGCTTTGCGTACCTGTGATTCTCGAGTAGCCGCTGATGCAAGGGCAGTGAAACGAACGAATTGTGGCTGCAACCGCCAGTATAAGCCTTTAAGCTTTGCTCGTCACTCTTATTGTAGGGTTTGTTGTGTGTGCTCAGTCAGTCTACGGAAGGCGTCAGAAAGCACCGCAAGTATACGGTTCAAGCGGATTTCAAGTATAAGTCATCTCTGCAGGCCTTCTAACGCAACCTGCCAATGTATTTTATAACGTCTCTTTGAGAGCCGTCCTTGTAGAAGGAACACTGCAGCTTTTCATCGGGATGACCTATACAAAACTTGAAGTTAATGATTTTTGAACGAATGGAAACATTATCCGTTGCCGCTGAGTTCGCCTTCACAAAGGTCGTTTGCAAAATACTAGTACCTAACCCAATTACTCTGCTAAATAGTTACAAACGAATAAAGAATAATTTATTAGTTTTCATATCTTTTATTTTAACACTGAAAAAAAAGTAACAGCTTTGCCGCAAAGGCAAAGCGATGAACGCGATAGCAACAAATTGGAAGGCCATGCGCAGAATGGCAAGCAGATTGAAACATGCCCCACATTTTTCACGGACAAAGGACGCACGAAACACACTCACGGGTACAGATTAACGCGAATAAGCGCCCCAACTGTTACTTCGCTGTGTCTGAAAAGCGTGACCTTTTCGCAAACGGAGCCTGTGCAATGATTGCAGTAACCTACGTGCACCCGGTAACTACAACAAAAAATAACGGAATAATTCCGACGAAACTCAAAGGCTAGCCGAGACATGGGATTCTCCCCACTGCAAGATAAGGGCGTGCGATCGAGCGAAACCCCTTTATTCTCTACGCGGGCTAAGTTACGCGTGAAAGATGACAGCCGCCGCGCGCTCACTGTGCCATCTTGCTGATTAAGCTAAAAACACGATAGCCTCCCACCCCACCCCCACCCCGAGATGCCCGCCAACAGTGGTAAGTGGTGGATATGAATAGCTTGACGTTCGGACGTCGGAGGAGGTACTTCTCGGTGCCTCATTTTGCTTCTGGGCGCCGGTTGGTGCAGACGCAGGATAAAAAGCTTGTCCCAAGGAGTGACAGTGGCTGACGCCGGCCACGGTATAGCATCTCCCCTCGTTCCAAAGGACTACAGGATTGTTCTGCCTTCGTTGTCATGCGTCGAGCAGTAGCTCTACACTGCGGTGTCAGCGGCCGACCGTATCGAATCGACGATTTCCGAAAACCTCTCAAAGACTCAGGCGTCATACAGCAAGTAGGTGGCATCGGGACATGTCAGATATCGCACGTGTGGTTTTTGAACATGAATACCGAGCAAGTGAAGAAAGCGCTGACAGACGCAGGCGTTTTCAAAGTAAAGACCGGGTATGTCTCGTCATTGACCCGACGCGGCAAAAGGTTAAAGATGAAATTGCACTGGCTTGCATTCAATCTTATGAAAGCCGCTATTCGACGTGCCTTCTATGAATACGGCGACGTCAAGGAGGTGACCGATGACCGATGGAGAGCCGGAGATTTTCAAGGAGTTCAATCGACAACTCGTGCAATACGCATGCAACTACGAGACGGCGCTTCTGTAGAACTGCCGCATCAAATGCGTATTGGCAGCAGTATGGCACTGGTCGTAGTGCCAGAAAGACCGCCTTTGCACCTGCGATGCCGAAGCATGGGGCACATGAGACGTGATCGCAAAGCCCTGAGGTGCAGCAAATGCCACTCTTTCGGTCAGGAGCAAGGCGAGTGCATTCATTCGTACGCCTGAGCTGTAGGGCGACAACTTGAGACTCAACAGAGTGAACTTCTCGTAGATGAAGAGGAATCAGAACAAGCATCTTTGCCTGCAACATCACAGAAGCAAACGACATCGTACCACGCGTCATTGCTGAACAAAAGCAAGCCGCTTTCTTCAGCCTTTGACACGAACACCAAGCGGAGGATGGGAAATCCAGCGGCCACTGACTGTACCCAAACGACGAGCAAACAGACGCGTCCTGCGCCTGCGATGCACGCTGCGTTGCAGCTGCAAACAACGCGCTCTGAAATTCCGGCGTTTCAGGCCAACGCCACTTCGACTGCTCTAAGCCTGGCTTCACAGTATTCTTTAGCGAACGAAACACACGAAAATGAAGTATTGCTTGGTGACCTGGATAGCCCAAGGATGGAATTTGAATTGGCGTCTGCAAAACGCCGTCGCGACTCGCACAACGGCATTCAAATAGACAAAACACAATTGAAGTAGGAAGTGCAGTGGAAGATGGTCAGTGGTGGGTGGTGGTGGTTATTGTGATTAGAGAAAAAAAAAGACGCCTAATTTCTGCCGCCCGTTAGGGAGCCCGGCGCAGTGGTCAGTGGAGGATGCCTGGAACGTGAGCCGCGAACGCGCTGCCCTATCCTCTGACTTTACCCTCCTCCTTCTATACGAAGGCGAGCATCTCTGACGACCGCCCGCCCCCTGCGAACACAGCAATGCTCTCACAGTTGCCTCCGAGCAGCCGTGATGTCACGTGAAAGAGCGGTACGGATGCGATCGGTCTCACAAGGCGGCCGGTCGCAACACGAGGCAGGAGGCACGGCCTCGGAGATTGTTTGCTGGCCGGAGGCTTCCAGTAGAAAAGAGAGCTACGTTCCAGGCATACTTTTAAATGCGAAGCATTTCTTAGCGAACTTCGGGGACTTTGAGCGTGTCTATCTATCTATCTATCTATCTATCTATCTATCTATCTATCTATCTATCTATCTATCTATCTATCTATCTATCTATCTATCTATCTATCTATCTATCTATCTATCTATCTATCTATCTATCTATCTATCTATCTATCTATCTATTTTTCCGTCTATCTATCTATCCGTCTATCTACTATCTATCTATCTATCTATCTATCTATCTATCTATCTATCTATCTATCTATCTATCTATCTATCTATCTATCTATCTATCTATCTATCTATCTATCTATCTATCAAGTCGCCTACCACGTTTAGCTCTCCTGCCCGTTTCGATAATGGTATCGCCCCGCCGCGGTGGTCTAGTGGCTAAGGTACTCGGCTGCTGACCCGCAGGGCGCTGGTTCGAATCCCGGCTGCGGTGGCTGCATTTCCAATGGAGGCGGAAATGTTGAGGCCCGTGTGCTCAGATTTGGGTGCACGTTAGAGAACCCCAGGTGGTCTAAATTTCCGGATCCCTCCACTATGGCGTCTCTCATAATCATATAGTGGTTTTGGGACGTTAAACCCCACATATCAGTCAATCAATCGATAATGGTATCGATACCAAACTTCGTATGACATAAGATGTCTGTATGGAGAATATATCTGACTAGTCAGAAAATGAAAATCATGGCATGGATGTTATAAATGTAATGATTTACATTTCATGGTGCTGCAGCTCTTGCGATGGTTTCGTTCACATGACATTTGAAATCCTGGTATGGTTAGACATGACTGCATGGCGAAAACAAGCGACAAACCCTAACATGAAAATCACGGCATGCGTGTCATGTAACAACATGACTACATGCAAAGCTCATGATGCGCTCACAGCTGTTTCACTAGCGTCACATATGCCAGATTTGGTATTACGGTACGTGAATGAATGACGAAGGTATGTGACAGGTACAGACATGATAATAATGAGATGCGCGTCATGTAACAACATGGCTACATGCCACGCTAATGATGCACTGGCGGCCGTTTCGCTAGCTTCACTTATACCAAATTTGGTATTATGGGACGTGAATGGATGACGAAGTTATGATTTTGGTGCGAACATAATAAACATGGGATGCGTGTAATGTAACCAAATGACTTCATACCACACTCATGATGCGCTCACGGCCATTTCGCTAGCTTTACGTATGTCAAATTTGGTATTACGTGACGTCAATGGATGACGAAAGTATGTGACTGGTGCAAACATGATAATCATGAGATGCGTGTCATGTGAGAACATGACTACATGCAAGGCGTCAATACATTTCAATGTGACGAGATGCGCGTGCTCGCCGGCGTTCATTTTGTCGCGTCACGCCGGTGTTGCCACGCCAGGCACCGGTCCTGCCATATAG